CAATGCTTTATCACAAACATGGTATTTAAAGACTGTCTCTTCGAATTGACTTACTTAAGCACACAACGCATCGTTTTGATGTTCTATTTCCTGTCGCAACACCAAAGAATATTTCGCAACTGGTAAGAAAAGCAGTCGCAGGCTCGCGGATTATTCCGCGCTTGGATGCAAATGTCTTGGAGCAACGAGTAACAACGCACAAATGAGACCAATTTAATCAACGTTATTGCGTTATAGTGAAATATTTGAATTAAGTTTCACGCAACGTGCATCAATAATTGATCGTGCAAATGAATCATTATACTTGCAAGAATAACCACGTGTGTAAGATTCCGAGGTGCGTGCGTTTGAAAATTTATGGAGAGCTGACGTGATACTGATATTGAATTTTAGGAATTAATAAAGAGAGAACGGGGCAGACTATGTGTGTAGGTTCAATTCACTGGATAAATTGGAAAAAGTGTTTTAAATACAATGTAGAGGAAATAAAGAAGCAGAATTGAACGAGTCGACGAGTTCGTTGCGTTTTCACAATGGTTTCGAGAGAATCAGCTTGCAAAGCCCTACACCGTGACTCATTCTGAATTAGAATACTTCAGCTGTATGAAAACGTTTCGCTGTGATCCTTTGATTTAAGACAACCATTGAACAATCGTTTCGAAATGTTTGTGAGGGATTAAGGTTCTGCTTCTGTAACTAAAGAAACTATAATATTCTAGTCGTTTATAGGTGGCAGATTTATCGTTTATCGATATATGATTCAATTTCTCCGCGCTTCATTAGTTATTTAATAACGCAGGAATAACAGCTTGAGGTAAGCGGCTCTTATAATTAATTATACACACCGTGTTGCACAGACGATGCAGATTTTCGCGATTTATCATTTCCCTTATTAATCATTCTCCTCGCTAGAAACGTTCCTTTTTTTTTCCAGATCCGGCGGATCACTCCTTCACACACTCTTTGTCGAGAAACAATTACAAAATTTCGTTAGACGCTAGAGGCATGTTGGTGATGTTCGGAGTGCAAAGTATTTCAATCTCAATGTTGTATTGTATTAATTCCTTGCTTCTACGTGCGCGTTGCATTTGAAATCTAACCTCGAGATAGAAGCTCGTATCTCGTTTCGCGTAGAACACATGCAACCTCTCAACTAAAAGTTCTTCTTTCCTTTTTTTCATAGTAAGTGATCAAACGTTTTCGTGAGCCATTACGACGAAGGTTCTCTCTCGAGTGCCTCGCGCCTTGGTCGAGAATCCATTTCCTGTATTCAAGCACGAGGGAACTTCTCGAGAGGATGCTGTCTCGATAACCAAACACTCGCGAACGCGAATGATCGAAATATCCATCGAGACGAATTGAACTTGGTATACCGTTACCAAGGCAAGAAATTCAATTTACCGAATCTTAATGCAGCGGGATTAAATCCGAGTGAAACTCAGCGATACCAGATCGTATCGATGCGGGGGAACTTCGAGTAACCATTTTCATAAACGGGAGAGACAAGTGGCAGTGATACTTTTCTGCAGCGAACCTTCTCATTCGACAGTTCTAATTGCGGAATAAATAAAGTGCAGTAAAATGTTAAAATTCAATAAACGCTGCGTTCTGCCTTCTCGCACCTTGTCTCCGCGAGAACCATAAACCCTCCCCAGAGGGGGGGGGGAGAGCTATCAGAGGCTGCAAGCGTCTAATAAAAATTTCCTCGAAACGCGGTGAATAATAACTGGTGATTATCGGGTTTCGGCTGCTCTTGCCGATACAACCACAGTTCGCGGTGAAAGTGTGAACGAGGTATAGCATTATCGACGAAGCTCGAGATGAACGGCCCTGAAAATATTTATTGCACCATCGTCCAACCGCGGAATATTAATAAGAAGCGCTCTTACTCGTCTTCGTTTTCACGCGAGGAACAATCACCGAACAATATTAATAATCGTCTTGGATCTCGACGTTCGAAGGTAAAAAAGGAAGGGAAAAAAAGAAAGTTTGGAAGAAGAAGAAGGGCGGTATAGAGCAAAAGCGATGAGAAAACGAGAGCAACTTGGTGAAAAGAGGAGCCACATTCGACGAGGTGGAGGGGGCAGGGAAAGCTATTAGTGTCGGGCGAATTAAAACGAGTTAGGCGAAGAACGTCAAAGTTCTGGGGGGAGGGGGGAGGGAGAGGGTTGGGGCTTTCCTTCGATGGAAAACTTTCGAGTTAGCCGCGTTCGCTGACCCGAACGCGATTTCTCACGCCCGAAGTGACAAAGGAGCAAAAAAGAAGAAGAATGTTCGTTCTTTTTTTTCTCTCTCTCTCTCTTGTATTTTTTTCTTTCATTTTTTTTTTTTTTTTTTTTTTTTTTTACAAAACAAACGTGTTTATTTCTTATGGTTCTTTGCTGAAATGGAAAGTGGCAGTTATATAATTTAATAATCACGTATAACAGACCGTGAATACATATATGTATATATATACATATACGCGTGATCCGATGAGCGTATTTACAACAATACAATACAATCAATAAATCCGCTAGTTCCTTGGAGAGAAGTCGAGAAATTTTCTCCCGAGACCAGAGATAGTCCTATATATAGGTACAAGTGCCTGGCCACTTTGATGTGCTCGAGAAGTGTGCGTGAAGTTATTTACAACGTTCAGATTATACACAAGTATTTACAGGAGGTATTCACTTACAGACTAATAAGCGTTTGGCGACCGTTGCTTTTTCTCGCAAAGACAGTCGTGAATCTTAGGAACGAGTCGCTAGACATCTCCTCCTCTGTCTTTCCCTCTTCATTTTCTCACTATCTCTCATTCTCTCCTCGATCCACGTATATATCAACATGTAACTAGCCTTTTTTTTTT